GAGAGTGAGGGGTTAGAGGTGTGAAAATTTTTGTAACTCCTTTTGGAGAGGAGGGCTACTCTTAATTGAGAAGGCCTTCCAAAATTGTAACTTTAGTTGCAATTAATAATAATAATTTTTTTCACCACTTTAAATTTTTCTCTTCTTCTCTTTGTTGGATGATGAAGATGAAGATGAAGATGGAGAATTGTTTGAAGGTTTGCATTTCTTTTCTTTTTCTCCTTTATTGCTTATTAGTTTAAATTTATTTTTATGTTTGTAGTTAGATTTTATTTTCTTGTTAAATAGCCAAGAGGCTAGAACCCTCTTGCCTTACATTTATTTTTTGTAGTTAGATTTTATTTTCTTGTTAAATAGCCAAGAGGCTAGAACCCTCTTGCCTTACATTTATTTTATGCTTATAGAGTAGATTTATTTTCGTGCATTTAATTGTTGCAATTTTATTTTGTAGTTTAGATTTTGTAATTTATTTTGTAGTTAGATTTTAATTTCTTATACTATTCACCTTGAGGCTAGAACCCTCTTGGGTTTAGTTTTTCTTTTTGTTTATTTTTATTTTGTTTGATTCGTCTTTAGGCTAGAACCCTCTAGGGAATCACCCCTTTTCTAAGAAGTGGGTTCAATTGTAGATTACCCATATCTATAATTGAATCCACCATCTTTAATTTCTTGCATTTTCTTTTATTCTAGAATTTTGTTCTTCATTCTTGATTTTTCATTTGTTTCTTGATTTTATTCATTTTTTCCTTCTCACCTTATTGATCATACTCATTCTTTTTCAAATCCACTCTCACTTACACTTTGCACCTATTCACACATCATTTTCACTCTCTCAATCACTTCACAATCACATTCACTTATCATTCCTATTTGTCACGCACACAACATAAGAACCGAATTCATATTTTCTCCTATAAAATCATCTTCCTCGTGGGATCGATATCTTAAATACTATAACTTGACACGGTTGTGCACTTGCAACCTTTTTGGTACATGTTTATGCCGCATCAAGTTTTTGGTGCCGTTGCCGGGGAAGGTGCTTAAGTAGGTTTTAATTATTTTGGTTCTTTAACTTGTGTGTTTTTTGTGAAGGTAACGCTTGGAGCTTGAAGATAGCGGATTGGAGAGCTAGGATTTGAAGATTTGCTTTCGGGTAAGTCCTCTTTCTAGTTTTTAATTACACCCTTTAGCTACTTCTTCACAATTAGAGACAATTAGGACTTAAAAAAAAGAAAGAATTTTATTTTTTTTGTTAACCATAATAAAATTCATCCTCCACTTTGACATTTACTAACAAGATAATAAATTCAAACAAATCCCCCATTCTCATTTGTTTGATTGTTAACCCTAATTATTAGCTACTTCTTCACAATTAGAGACAATTAGGACTTAAAAAAAAGAAAGAATTTTATTTTTTTTGTTAACCATAATAAAATTCATCCTCCACTTTGACATTGACTAACAAGATAATAAATTCAAACAAATTCCCTCTCCTCATTTGTTTGATTGTTAACCCTAATTAAAAAAAAGAGATTTTTCTTTTCCATCCTTTTTAGTTGCTTTTAATTCATAGGGTTGCATTTCATATAGTGTAGGAATTCACCAAGTGATTTGAGCATCTTGATTTGACACACACTTAAAAATATTTTTAAGGGCAAACCCATAATCAAGATAAGGTGAGGGATTTCATCACCCTTTCCTTAGCCCAAAAATCACTAATTTCTCACTACACCACCCAAGCCTAATAAAAACTCATTAGACGTTGGCCCCTAAGGATTCGAGCTCAATAAGGAACAAGAAATCCTTAAGTGAACCGGTTTAAGTTTTCTCAGATTAGTTGGTGTCTAAGGCAAGGTTTAGGGGTTGCGTAAAGCGCTCCGCAAGGAAAGAGGTACTTAATTGATCTTTGATCACCCTCTAGTACTATCCTTACCTGGCTAACTACCTGGGTAAAACTTTGATCTTTTCACTGTAGGAGTTTTTGGTTAGGAGCTGGTCTAGTTGAGTTAGGCTAAACCCTAGAATTAAAGTTGATTGAAAAGTGGTTGTTTTGATTTGTTTCAGTTAGGATTTTTCTTTTTCTTTATCTTCTCAAAAAAAAACTAATTTTCTTTCTTTTCTTTAAGAAAAAAAAATAAAAAAAATAAAATAAAAAAAATAAAAAAAATAAAAAAAATAAAAAAAATAAAAAGAAATACTTTGGTGTATGCAACAGTGGATTAGGGATAATACACATCGATTAATTCGCTTTGAACCAATCATAGAAATGGAGCATACTAATCCACCCGTTCTTCATGATATGTGCTATCCCATTAGGAATGCAATCCCCTCATGCATTAGGCTCCCCGAAACAAATGGAATAAGTTTTGAGCTTAGACCGCAATACATAAACATGCTTCCCAAATTCCTTGGTAATGAAACAGAAGACGCATATATTTTTATTTCGGAATTTGAGGAAGTGTGTATTATGATTAAAATGAGAGAATTAAATGAAGATGCGGTTAAGCTTAGATTTATTCCATTTGCTCTTAAGGATAAAGCTAAAAAATGGCTGTACAGCTTACCAACAAATTCCATCTCAACTTGGGATGAATTTGTCACCGTTTTTCTTAAGAAATTTTTTCCTATTCATAAAACGGTAAAGCTTAGGAACAGCATTCAAAACTTTAAAATTATCCCGGGAGAACCTTTTTGGAAGTATTTTGACCGATTTAAAGATCTTCTCATCCAATGTCCTCATCACGGTTTAGAGAAATGGCGATTGTGCCAAATAATTTATGAGGGATTAGATTATTCTGCAAAAACTTCCTTAGAATCAATGTGCCACGGGGATTTTATGAGGAAAAATGCTGATGAAGCTTGGGAGTTTTTGGAGAGTCTTTCTGAAAAAACAATGCAATGGGAACAGTGCGATGACAGGGTTTCATCAGTTCCCCATTCTAAGTCTAGTGGTCTTTCCTTGGAGTCAAACATTGCTTCTGAAGCGAAGATGGCGACAATTCTGCGGAGGTTAGAAGCCTTAGAAATTAAGGAACGAGCTCCAGCTCAACTCAATCATGTTTCTTTCCCAGGATGTCATAATTGTCAGTCTCCTACCCACGTTTCAGAGGAATGCCCTCTCCTAGGAAATAACAACGCAATAGAACAGATGAACGCTGCATTCCAGCACCCTAGAAATGATCCATTTTCTCCAACCTACAATCCAGGTTGGAGAAATCATCCCAACTTTGCATGGAATCTAGGAAATTCTCCCGGAACTCAAAATTTCACTCCCGCTTCGACCCAACATTTTCCTAGGGGAAACACAGTTCCATTCAATTCTCATTCACAATTTCAACAACCCAATCTGCCGTATCAAAATCAGTCTCCTCCTCATCAAGCTGTAATTCAAACTCCTCACAATCCAGATCAAGATAAACGTCTCAATGTCTTGGAAAGGGGTTTAGAAACCATAATTAAGGCCTCTACTCAAACCACGAATATGTTGACTCAAACATCTAGCACGTTGAATTCCTTCATGCAATCAACCGGACAAATGCTCAACTCCAACACTCAAGCTATAGCTAGATTAGAATCCCAACTTGGTCAACTAGCTAGTGCCGTGAGTGAAAGAGAGAAAGGAAAATTTCCGAGTCAACCCGTGGTCAACCCTAATAACACAGGATGCAGTTCATCCTATGAAGCTCAAGTGAATGCAATCCATTCACTTCGGTCAGGTAGACAGGTCGATAATCAAGTGAGAACTCCGCCAAGTCAAACTCTTGATCCTGTACAAATTCCTTCTCCTTCTCCTTCTGATGAATCTATTCAACAATCACTCCCCTCAGATGACCAAGAACCTGAACCCGAACCTGAGCCTGCTTTTGATAGACTAATTAATAATCACAACTAATGTAATATATAAAAATATTTTAATAAAGTATATTCTTATAATGAGATAACTAATTTTTATATTTAAATATTACTAATTAATAATCACAACTAATGTAATATATAAAAATATTTTAATAAAGTATATTCTTATAATGAGATAACTAATTTTTATATTTAAATATTACTAATTAATAATCACAACTAATGTAATATATAAAAATATTTTAATAAAGTATATTCTTATAATGAGATAACTAATTTTTATGTATTAAGTAATCAATATTTATAATAATATTTATTTAATTTGAAATTAATCGATTAATCATAATATTAGTTTTAAATATTACTAATTAATAATCACAACTAATGTAATATATAAAAATATTTTAATAAAGTATATTCTTATAATGAGATAACTAATTTTTATGTATTAAGTAATCAATATTTATAATAATATTTATTTAATTTGAAATTAATCGATTAATCATAATATTAGTAATTAATAATCACAAATAATGTTTTGTATAAAATATTTTAAATAGACATATTTGTTATTATAATTAATTATTTATTTTATTAGTAATAATATTTTACTAATATAAATTTAATTAATGAGTTTCAATATAAGTGACTAATAATCACAAATAATGAAATATATATAAATTTTTTAATCAGATATATTTCTTATTTTGATATAACTAATTTTTAATTAATTAATTTTTTATAATAATATTTCATTATAATGAAATTAATTAATCTCAATATTATTAATTAATAATCATAACTAAAAGTAATTAATACTTTTTAAATAATTACTAAATTTAATATTATTTAGTGTATGGTCAATATAAAATTAATTAATTAGTTATAATATGGAGTTATAATAATATATCCGGTCACGACCCCTAAAATCACTAAGTATTAATCTTCATGGGGAAGCCGACACGGGTCTCACTCCACGCCAAGTCAGATGCGTTCAAGGCCGAAATAACTCCTATTGCTCCCACGGTCGACTCGCGCACCTGAGTGGCG